TGGTGAATTAGAGGCAACCATATATCAAAACGTACTGGTAAGGACAGTGGGATAAGTCTACGTTCAAGAAACCCCCGATTTTCAGCTATTACAAACAAGAACCTCGGACACATGTCAGTGATAAGTAGCATGTTCCGTTTATAACGAATTTTCCACGCTAGTGTAGATGACTAATGTGACCCTGGTGAAAATTAATCGTCTAGAGGTCATTGAATGATAGGTGCAAGCCTCGAGCTCAGTTTCTCCATGAACATGTTGAAATGTATGACCACTGTTCAGTCGTACCTTGCTCTCCGACAAGTAACAGTAAGTCTTGAAGTAAGTCTTCACACTTGCCACGTGATCGTTGCCACGGTTTGAGCCAATCAGAGCGCTCACAGGCAGGGCATGAACCTCTGATCATGCCCTGCCATTCAGGCAAATGGGCTTGAATGGCGGTATGGCACCACAGGAGAACATGAATGATCACGTGATGGGTATACTCGCACGTGGAGAGCCTTACCTGATCCAGGTGGAACAACTCAAGAGAGAAAGAAAAAGCCTGATATCCGGTCCATGTCTGATACATGTGGTGGCATTCAGGCCCTTGACCAATCAGTGCGTCCCGAGAGCGTGTCGAGGTGAAACTAAACACGCCGGCATGAAGGTATAAAAGGAAGAAACCTCTAGGGGTGGTGGTCGGGGACGTGGAGGATTCAGCTTGTGAGTTTCAGGTTGGTACGCTCGAGGGCTTTGTTGATTCAGGCCCGAGAGGGCCTGAATCAACAAAGCCCGAGAGCGTACCGACCTGAAACTTCACCTTGCTTGAGATGAAATTTTACCTTGCTTGAGATGAAACTTCACCTTGCTTGAGTTGAAACTTCACCTTGCTTGACATGAAACTTCAGAACGAAACTTCAGAACGAAACTTCAGCCGGAGCGCACGGAGGTGGAACTTCAGCTTGTGAGTTTCTGCCATTGTTGTGCAACGAGTGCCATAAAGGACTTGAGAACTTGGGCAGGCAGGCACTCGGTGTTTCTAGTTGATGTATTTCAAGTTCGATTTATGCAGATTAGTGCAGTACAGTGGCTTTGTTTGCGCTGCTAGCATGCTGCGGGTGCGTTGTAGGTGCACTTGCACGTGCACGTAACTCGTTCTGGTGAGCTGAGGAGAGCGTTCTGGCTTTCACTTGTGCTGTCGTGCGTGGGTGGCAGTGTGAAACACAATCAGATATGGATGTCAGGGCAGGTATCGTTGATTCCGGCCCTCGAGCGGCCCGCGGCCTTCGGCCTTGGGCCGCTCTCGGGCCTGAATCAACGATACTGCCCTGACATCCATGTCTGATTCTATACCCAAAAACTTCTTCTGGAGAGTGGTTTTCTCCAGAAAGCTGCGATATAGCAATGAGAACTGACTCTGACTGAAGCAAAGTACTGCCGCCTTTCCCTTTTTGAAGAAAACCGCTCACGGAAAACTACCCTTTTAAATTTGCAGCTACGGTTCAAAGACGGCCAAGCGAGGATCTAGCGATCATGCTTCACACCGGTGGCACTCGCTTCTACTTGAAGTATTCTAGATGTCATCGAGTGTAGACTTTCTGAGCCTAGCGCCTGTCAAGTACACTGTACAGTGCTGGGCAAAGAGAAATCCAACCTCATGAATAAAATAGCGTTGCTGGGCACTACACTGCCCTAGCACTACACATACACTACACTACACTGCACTACACTGCACTACACTACACTACACTGCACTGCACTGCACTGCACTGCACTGCACTGCACTGCACTGCACTGCACTGCACTGCACTGCACTGCACTGCACTGCACTGCACTGCACTGCACTGCACTGCACTGCACTGCACTGCACTGCACTGCACTGCACTGCACTGCACTGCACTGCACTGCACTGCACTGCACTGCACTGCACTGCACTGCACTGCACTGCACTGCACTGCACTGCACTGCACTGCACTGCACTGCACTGCACTGCACTGCACTGCACTGCACTGCACTGCACTGCACTGCACTGCACTGCACTGCACTGCACTGCACTGCACTGCACTGCACTGCACTGCACTGCACTGCACTGCACTGCACTGCACTGCACTGCACTGCACTGCACTGCACTGCACTGCACTGCACTGCACTGCACTGCACTGCACTGCACTGCACTGCACTGCACTGCACTGCACTGCACTGCACTGCACTGCACTGCACTGCACTGCACTGCACTGCACTGCACTGCACTGCACTGCACTGCACTGCACTGCACTGCACTGCACTGCACTGCACTGCACTGCACTACACTACACTACACTACACTGCACTACACTACACTGCCCCTAACACTACACTACACTACACTACACTACACTACACTACACTACACTACACTGCACTACACTACACTGCACTACACTACACTACACTACACTGCACTACACTACACTGCCCCTAACACTACACTACACTACACTACACTACACTACACTACACTACACTACACTACACTACACTACACTACACTACACTACACAACACTACACTACACTACACTACACTACACTGCACTACACTACACTACACTGCCCTAACACTACACATACTGGTCTGTGCACTACACTGCCCTAACACTACACATACTGGTCTGTGCCCTACACTGCCCTAACACTACACATACTGGTCTGTGCACGACACTGCCCTAACACTACACATACTGGTCTGTGCACTCCACTGCCCTACCACTACACATACTGGTCTGTGCACTACACTGCCCTACCACAACACATACTGGTCTGTGCACTACACTGCCCTAACACTACACATACTGGTCTGTGCACTACACTGCCCTAACACTACACATACTGGTCTGTGCACGACACTGCCCTAACACTACACATACTGGTCTGTGCACTCCACTGCCCTACCACTACACATCTGGTCTGTGCACTACACTGCCCTACCACAACACATACTGGTCTGTGCACTACACTGCCCTAACACTACACATACTGGTCTGTGCACTACACTGCCCTAACACTACACATACTGGTCTGTGCACTACACTGCCCTAACACTACACATACTGGTCTGTGCACTACACTGCCCTAACACTACACATACTGGTCTGTGCACTACACTACCCTAACACTACACATACTGGTCTGTGCACTACACTGCCCTAACACTACACATACTGGTCTGTGCACTGCACTACACTAACACTACACATACTGGTTTGTGCACTACACTGCCCTAACACTACACATACTGGTCTGTGCACTACACTGCCCTAACACTACACATACTGGTCTGTACACTACACTGCCCTAACACTACACATACTGGTCTGTACACTACACTGCCCTAACACTACACATACTGGTCTGTACACTACACTGCCCTAACACTACACATACTGGTCTGTGCACTACACTGCCCTAACACTACACATACTGGTCTGTGCACTACACTGCCCTAACACTACACATACTGGTCTGTGCACTACACTGCCCTAAAACTACACATACTGGTCTGTGCACTACACTGCCCTAACACTACACATACTGGTCTGTGCACTACACTGCCCTAACACTACACATACTGGTCTGTGCACTACACTGCCCTAACACTACACATACTGGTCTGTGCACTACACTGCCCTAAAACTACACATACTGGTCTGTGCACTACACTGCCCTAACACTACACATACTGGTCTGTGCACTACACTGCCCTAACACTACACATACTGGTCTGTGCACTACACTGCCCTAACACTACACATACTGGTCTGTGCACTACACTGCCCTAACACTACACATACTGGTCTGTGCACTACACTGCCCTAACACTACACATACTGGTCTGTGCACTACACTGCCCTAAAACTACACATACTGGTCTGTGCACTCGAACGCGGCGATACTCTATTCATGAGGTTGGATTTCTCTGCGGGTCAGCACTGTACATGACAACAGAACCCACTGCAGGGTCAGCTCTGCCTACGATCGAGCTGATTGCATGACTCGTACTGATTGATCTGCATGCTCGTCGGCTGCACGTGCAATGTTCACTGAGTTTCGGCCCTACATCCGCCAAAAGGTTTGGGTAACCTGGCGCCACCCTTGCCCCCCCCCCCCCTTGCCCCCCCCCTAATTCCTACGCCACTGGCATGTATGTGTATGTGTGCTTGTGTGTGTGTGTGGGTGTGTGTGTGTACTTGTGTGTGTGTGTGTGTGTGTGTGTGTGTGTGTGCCCCGCCTGAATCGCCCTACAGTGACTGATCGCCAGCACTTTGAAGCACTGCCTTCCTCTCCCCTAACCTCTCTGACAGCACCTCCCTTCGGGAGCGGCGTGGTCATTTCTGGCAGCTGTCAATAGTAGTAGTGTGTGTATGTGTGTATGTGTGTGTGTGTGTGCGTGCGTGCGTGTGTGTCTCATATGGTGCAGTTCTAAGTGCAGTCGATTTCCGATCGAGATGTGGCGGGTTCGGTTCACGAAGACTATGGTCACACACGTCTTTCTTCTTTTTCTCAGACTCCTCCTGACTTTTCTTTCATTCTGCTGCGTGTTAACAACCAGTGCATGCCGGAGTATGCGGTGGGATGTTTGTGTGGGAAAGAAATGAGAAAAAAAGATCAAAAGGTAAGGATTCACCAGCCCGAAAAAGCCACTTTAAATATTTGTGTGGTTTAGACCAGGCTGAATGGCGGAGTTAAAATCTTTAGCCTTGCAAGCTATTGAATGGTGCAATCCCAGTACAAGTTGCTATGGCTTCTGCTGTATGCAACGCTATCATGACCTCCAGCTTCAAAAGGCCAAAATGTCAAAAAGGCAAGTGTTTGTGTATCTGTGTGTATATGTGTGTGTGTCTGTGTGTACGTGTGTGTCTGTGTGTGTGTGTCTGTGTGTGTGTGCACGCGTGGGACAGCATGCGTGTGTCTGGGTATGTATGGGTATGGGTATGGGGTGTGTGTGGGTGTGTGATTGTGCCTATTTACATGATCTACATGTAGGTGTTTGAGAAAGGAGGAAGGCAGTTGAACAAGTTTGGTACTCCAGGAAGTGGACCAGGACAGTTCAACACACCAATGGGTATTATCTCGTCCAACGGCAGATTGCTGGTTGTGGATTACAACAATCACCGTATCCAGGTTAGGCTATTGTTCTAGGAGGATTTCCATGGCATAATGTGTGTATGTGTGTGTGTGTGTGTGTGTGTGTGTGTGTGCATGTGTGTTTGTGTGTGTGTGTGTGTGTGTGTTTGTGTAGGTTTGTGTGTTTATGTGGGTGAGTTTATGTGCCTTTGTGTGTGTATAGATTCTTGGTTGGAGAAAAGCAATTCACCACACAAATCCCAGAAGCCATACAGTTTCGAGTCTTTGGACTAGGCCTTTCGTAACATTACTTTTCAAGTCGAATACAATGATGATAAACAAGGTAGCAAGCATGTCCTTATAGCCAGCACTTTCGCGGTCAGAACATTAACAAAATAGCACTTTTAAAAGATAGCAATTGTGACCCCAACTACATGTTGACCGGTCAGAGCATTGACCAAATAACACTTTAAGAGATAGCGCTAGTAGCACCAAACCACGTAGAGAAAACAATTAATTTACTAGTATCAAACAACAATAGGAACCAGAGTACTACAATGGGAAAACAGTGACAACTTTTGCACATACTTCTTTTGCACACCCAGTTCAAATATACACATGGCACTCATTGCAAACATGGCACTCCTTGTCACTTTACCACTCAAGCACGTGTGTGCTCAACAAATCTCACCCTGCTGTTCTGGAGGCAGTTTGCATTGTAAAGCTGAAGCCTGAACTGTGTGTGCGATAGAAGCATGTGCGAAAGTTCTGACTGTTTTGAAATTGTAGTCCTGTGGTCCCCATTGTTGTTTGATACTAGTAATATTCATTGTGTCACTATTTTGACATTGTAGTACTGTGGTCCCCATTGTTGTGTGATACTAGTAATATTCATTGTTTCACTATTTAGTTGACACCTCTAGCGCTGTCTTCTAAAGTACTATTACACGGTCAATACTCTGGCTGCCAAATATGAGGTGTAGTGGCGGGTTTAGGTGGGGTGGGGGGGGGGGGGCACGCCGCTCTCCCTTCTCCCCACGCTCCTCCCCCTCCCCCAAAAAAGTTCGACCTTGGTTTGAAATAAACACCAGACTGCTGCATGCAAGGGGGGGGATAGACTCTACACGGTGGGAAGCAGTTTCCAAAAGCAGCTGCACTGACCGTTGGTGTGTAGCGGTGCACTGCAGATGAAACGATCCACTCTGCACGATGTCTACACTTTTGTTCAAATTCCAGGACATGCTCGATGCGTCTTGAGAAAGGCGTGCAGTGATGTGCAGAATGCAGCACTACCCAAGCGGGACTGAAAAAACAGCTTGGGATCTTCAAGCGCCTCCTTCTGCAACATTGTACAACGGTGTTTTGTGAATGATCCCCCCGGGATTTGAATCATGAATTGGTTGACTTGAAGACTTTTCTGCGAAGTCTCAGCTACATCCATGGACTAAAAGACGTCAAGCTCTGGCCTGCAGAGCCTGGATGGATTTTTGCAGAGCATTCTTGCGACGGCGTAATTCCTGTTCCAACAGGAAACCGTGGAAGTGATCAAGTCGTTGCAAGTTCAATAGATGACTTGCACAAAGATTGTCTGGGTTCGAGATGGGGCTAGTGGACCTTCTGACTCTCACTTCCCGACCTTTTGACTTTGAGTTTGAGACTTTCCCTTTTTGCATGACGAATGCTGAGCTAGTTTTTTTGGCTAGAGTTGTTTTGATTTGGCTTGCATCGTCATGCGGAAGCGCTGCTGCGCTTCTCAATGCACCAGCAGACGAGATATGGAACTGAGGCTCCCATTCCATACGCTCCTTTCCGAACCGGGAATGCAGAAAAATCGATTCATGCCATATTGAGATGAACTTAAATGAGGTGATTGATGTAGTGTACAAGTAACATGACAGATGATTGTACAATAATTATGTAGTAACTAAGCATGAGATACTATAGTCTGTAGCCTAGTGTACGTCTGCAAGAAATACCTGTCATGTAATAATTTGTAATCGGTTAGATAGCTAGCAGTGTGACGTACATTGTTACAGTCATGTGCACCATGTCCTCTCCCCTCCCCTCCCCCCCCCCCCCCTCCCCCCCCCCCCCTCAGCCAAGTCCTGGACACGCCACTGTAGTTAGCGCCACTAGTGCTATCTTTTAAAGTGCTATTTTGTCAATGCTCTGACCGCCAAAGTGCCAGTAATAAGGACATACCGTAATGTCGCGTATAAAAGCAGGTGCTTACGGCCGTATAAGCCGGGGTTCAAACCATGCTTCTATATAAGTTATGCTTCTCTTCAAAACATGTTTCTACGTCAACATCAAAGTCACATTACGTCAGTCCGGTCATCACTCGATAATATGCCACTCGGAATTGAAATTCATGACTGAGACATGCCAAGTGTCTGAGAATACACGAAAACGAAATACAAAATGCAAAAACATTGCAGGGCGATATTTGAAATGCAAAAGTCTGTTCAGATTTGCAATTGACACATCAAAATCAAGTCAAAATCAAGTCAAAATCAAGTCAAAATCAAGTTGACGGTATTAAAAAGCAATGAACATGGCAAGGTTAGGAATTCACAACAATTTTGCTCGTGCAAAGACTGAAATCTTCCAGCAACAAACCAAAACAAAGATTTGGAAAGCCAGGGTGGAAATTTACACTTACAGTACTGCAACAAAATCATCATCGCTATCGGCAGTCTCCATGGTGACATGAGCTACTTCAAGATGAGCAGTTGCAGCGGATTCTTCAGTCAAGAGAGAGTCGGCAGGCGCAGCTGATACAGCGGTTGCAGCAGAGTCGAATTCATTGTCGTCGTCGTCGTCTTCACTGGAGGTGCCACCAGCAGCACCGTCATCAGCAGCCACTTCACCAAGAACATTGGCCTCTTGGTCAAGCTCATCTTCGAACTCTTCCACAACATTGGCTGGCTGCAGCTGTGCAGGCGGCAAAAAAAAGCTCTTCAAGACGTTCTCGGCCATCAGCAGTGGAACGACCTTCCTTGAAGCAGGACGCCTGGTCAACAGTGGCGCCGGGAACCTGTCCGCAGCAGGTGAAGTAGTTCTTGATGAGGCCTGGTGACAGGGAACGCCATGACTTCACGATGATGTCGCACAGCTTCGACATTGTAGTGGCACGGATGTTGCATGCAGCAGTGTAACTTTTGTCACCTGTTGCCAGCCATTCATCATACAATTCCCGGATGCTGCTCTTGAAGGGCTTGTTCCAGCTGACATCCGGGGCTTGGACAAGCTCGTTGCATCCACCAGGGATCACAGCACTCAGGATGCGTTTTTGGCACCTCTCTGCAGTGACGGAGTCGGTAAGATGGCAGCGATAAGAATCCCACACTAGAAGCCTCTTTCCCAAGGCCATGGAACCCATCACTCTCTGACGCCAATCAATTGTCAACTCTTTGTTAAACCATCCATTGTCAGAGAATGCTACTACGATGTCCCGCTGGGCCTTCAGCTCCCTGTCCTCTGCCGTCTTGCCCTTGCCTTTGAAGAGCACAAAGGGCAGCTGCTTTGCACCAGACGCAGATGCAGTCAGTGCCACAGTGATATTTTGCTCGTCATGCCCTGTGAGGCCACGCTGATTGTCTTGGTGCCAATTTCGTTGATCGTCCCGTTTGCTAGTCACATCAAACCAAACGGCAGTCTCATCCATGGCAAAGATGTTGGCAGGGTTTAGATCGTTGTTGTCGGCGAACAGCTTCCTGACAAACACAAGGAAGTCCGTCAACTTGGGGATCAGGTCAGCAGGAGTTCCATGGCTCTGGTGCGTCTTCACTCTTGTCATTAGTTGAAGATGCTCCATGAAATTCCTACACCTTCCAGCACTTACATTGAATGGTTCCTGTCCTTCTTGCTTGTCGTGAATCCGCTTAGCCATTGCCTGGACCAACTTCCGCGTCACTCGTCGACATTGCTGGCGATCCCCGACGATCCATCCGAAAAGCTCATCTTCAAGGTCCCACAAAAGCAACGTTTTGCCACCGCCGACTACAGTCCATTCAGAAAAAGATGGACTTCTAGCTTTTGGCCATAAATGGGTCAAACGTTGAGTTTTTTTAGAATTTTGTTCTGCAATCCCCTATGGAATCCTCTTCCAATTATGTTTCTGAAGTCTATTTCTCCAAGAAGCAAGCCATAGCAAGAATAGGATTTCGGCCAGGTTTTGCCCCAAGAGCAGTGAATTGGGAAAACCCATCAAAATCCAGGCCGTTTGACCCTGCCTGCAACAGTGCATTGTACGGTTCGAACCCCAGTTCAGGTACCCGTTTTGGACCCTTTTTCAAATTTCAAATTTCACAGCACTGCACTGTGTACGATAAGATCTTGAAAAATCGCCTAATACGGGAGCTCGCCAGAGCCAGGGCCCATCTTTTTGTGAATGGTCTGTAGGCGTGCCCGTGCACGACCACGACAGGTTGTGGATTTTCTATTCCCTTTAGACTGGCCTCCTTCTGTTTCCAGCGACGAACCATGCTCCCATTCACGTTGTGGAGGCGACTAGCAGCACTGCAGGACGTTTCCTTCGCGGACTTGAAAGTAAGGCTGTAGTTTTTTTCTCTTTCCTGTCGTCGGTGTCGGCATCTTTGCAGCTGTTGTCAGTGAATCCTCGGAGGAAGAATGAGGATCGACTGCTAGTGTCGAAGCAATTATATTCTCCCTGGCTAGCCATGACTGTGACCGTACGGAGAATCGGTATTGCAACAACAACTGCACAGCGGTTTCATTCTACAACGTTGCATGAAGTGTTGCGTGCCCTATGCAGTGTTGCACTCACGATCATGACCGCGACCACCAAGAAGTCTTCCATCACGGTACACTGTAGGTCTGCAGTGCGGATAGTCTACTGCTCTGGCATGTGGCCAGGTTTGTTGGAAAGATGCACAGTGCTTTGCAGTCTGTCCCCGGGGAAAATCGCGATTCCGCGGCCGCGTTTTTCCGCTTTTTTGCGATTTTTAAAAGACCGCGTTTTCCGCAATTTTCCCGTGTTTTTTGAACTTTTTTGTTGCACTACACGTACACAGTGCACTGTTCGGTCAGCAACG